TTTTTATGGAGGGGGGTCAGCAGAGGGTGCCCTGCTCTGCCCCCCAGCTTCCAGCCACCACATCTCCTGCAGAGGGTAACAAGCCTGAGGTTTGGGTTGCAGAGAGATGGGAAAACAGCAACCGCTGCCTGTAATGGATGTATTTTGGTGGGACAGTGTGCCAGGTGTGCCTGAGAGGCAGAGAAAAGCTACCATGAGAGTGCTGCAGCACAGCTCTGGAGAGGTCAAGAACTGGGATGCCATCCTTTGGGAATGGGCAGCAGTTGGGGGATGAGTTCCTCATCTGATTTGGGTGTCAGGACACATTTTCACAGAGAGGGAGTTTAAGGCCAGGTGAATATTTTTATTTTATTTGTGGGCACAGAAAGACCTGAGTTCCTGATCTACCTCAGATAAGGGAGGCCCTGAAAAGGAAGATTTCCACAAATCCAGCTGTGCAGTTGTCAGCTCTATTTAAATTTGGGATGACCTCTCAAGTAATTTCCTGACACAGCAGGTGGGAAGGTGCTCTGGTCTGGTCTGGTGCAGGAGGGAGCCAAAGGAGGTAAGAAGTGGTTTGTCTTTCCAGTCACTGACTGCTGCCTACAGTCAATACAAATACTTTAGAGGAAGGAGGAATGATCATCCCTTAGAAGGCAATTTTTGTAATAATCTGCCCATGGGGACCTTTGCCCCCATCCCATTTATTGCTGTTTGTGTGAAAATTTCTCTCTTAAAAGCTATATTATTGCTTTCTGCTCAAGTAACTCACACAGAGCAAATATAACTGCAAATGGTCTTTCCTTTCAGGTACATTCTTGTCCCTTTCTTGCAAGTCTCTCTGCATCTGCAATTTTAGTGATATTTTGGAACAGGGACCACCATGGATGATTATGCAGAGTGCATTAGAACAACAGTATTTCTCTTATCCTTGAATGTGTGCTGCTGCTTGGGTTTATTGACTGTCCCTTTGTTCTCTTTTTATGTACAAAGTGAAAATAGGAGTACTTATACGCACCTCTTTTGTGCCATTTGTTATTTTGTATATTGGCCATTATGTTGCTTTTTACTCACTTCATCTAGAAATTAAAATTATTTCAATTCTAGCTAGACTCTATTCCTAACTTCCTTACTTTCCCGTCTTGGAAATGCTCCCCTCCTGTCTTTTTTATGTGTAATTTGGGAGTTGGTGAGAGGCAGTAGTGCCAGAAGAGGACCTCCTCTTCCTTCCTATCTGACCATTTAGACACAGTTCTCTTCTACTTTCTCTCCTGAGTTTTATCCAATATCTTCATCTTCATTTTTTAAGGAGTTTTTGGGATAATAGCATGTATTTGTAACCCCCAATGGGCAGTTCACTGTGGTGAACTGCCCATGGCCCTAGCTTGGTTTTCTCTTCAAGAGGTGAGAACTGATCTGGACTTAGCACAACTGTTACCCCTTCCTCTCTGGGAGCCTTGCCCAGGCTGTGTCTGTGGTGGGGATCTTCTTGCCCCACTCTGGCCTGTTCCCCTGGCTTTGGTGATGCCCTTGGCAATCCTCATCATCCCTGGCTGGGATAAGGAACTGTGTGACATTTGTGCAGCCTTCATCCTACTTTTGAGGTTTTTGTTTCTTAGCTGCTGCCCAAACCATGACCCTTCTTTACCCCCCATGAACAGCTCTTCCACAAAGGTCTTATCAAAACCTTCACAATTATCTACACCAGTTATATCAGTGATAGCTCTTCTGGCCAATACTTTGATGTACAAAAGCTTTCAAATAGATTAAAGGAACAGGTTTTTCTTCTGCACAAATTGGTTGGCATTGTTTCCCCCAGCCCAGTGAAGTGTATTCCCTCTCCAGAGCATGATGGACTAAAACTGAGCAGAGCAATTAACCTCACCACATGTCACTGGGTCTTGTGCTCTGTGCCCTCACCCAGGGCCATGTGGGCCTGGTTAGTGGACAGATGCTTCCTGCCGTGGAAGAGCCCATTCTCTCCCTCAGAGCTCTGGTCTTGCCTTTGCATGGCCTCAGGGACAGGGGACAGCCATAGGAAACAACAACGAAGACAGGTTGGCTGTTTCCAGAACTCTCATTACATTTATCCTGTCATTCTCTGTGTTCTGAATGGGGTGAACCACTTGATCAGGGCCAGATGGGAAAATGCTGGTTGCTATATACATGTTGCAGTGGCTTATGGTAGAATGAAGCTTCAAAATCAAAGTAAGGGAAAAGCTTTTCCCAACCACATGAGCCGCCCAACACCTAGGAAAGGCTGGGGAGAATCAAAGGTGATGTTAAAGCACCCTCCTACTAGTGCAGCCCCAAGTGCCGCTTCGCCACTGCAGTTAGAGCCTGTCTGTGGGGGCTAGGGCTAGGCCAGCACACTGACAAGTGCAAATTGGGAATACTAGAAGATATCAAGATTGGTGGTACAAATCTCTCCACAGAGGCCACTGGAAGGGTGAGAAGGGGTCTCAAAGGGTGCTGTGATGCCCTCTCTCAATGAGTGCCCCCTTTCCACAGGGGAATGGAT